GGGAGGGGGAGTTGAAATGGTTCGCGACTGGGAGGTGCAGTTGTTTGTTGCGAACCGAGCGTAGGTGTTCTGCAAAGCGGTCCCCGAGTCTACGCTTGGTTTCCCCGATGTAGAGGAAGCCACACCGGGTACAGCGGATGCAGTATACCACATTGGCAGATGTGCAGGTGAACATCTGCTTGATGTGGAAAGTCTTCTTGGGGCCTGGGATGGGGGTTTCCTCTCCACCTATCCTCTCCTCTATCCCTCTTCTATCCGCCTCCCACTCTCTCCCTATTTATTTCAAAACCCCCTTCCCCTCCCCCTTTTCTGATGAAGGGTCTAGGCCCGAAACGTCAGCCTCTCTGCTCCTATGATGCTGCTTGGCCTGCTGTGTTCATCCAGCCCTGCACCTTGTTGTCTAAGAAATTCCAGCGTTGAGTTTGGAAACGGGACCAGGATCTCGAGACACCAACTGAAAACAACAAATGCGGGAGATCACAGTGGGTCAGACAGCATCCATGGAGAGAGAGCAAGCTAATGTTTCCAGTCTAGATGAGTCTTCATCAGAGCTGAAGTGAAATGTGGAGGGGGCAGTATTTATGCTATAGTTTGGGAGGGGGGTATAGGGTATTTCACCTGTACCTTCTCCAATCCTGTGTACTGCACCCAATCTGGCATACTCTACCCTAGACTAACCAGTGTGGGTGACCACTTTGTAGAACCCTCCAGTCTGTGCGCAGGTAGGACCCCAACCTTCCCGTAGCTGGTCATTTTAACACAGCGTCCTGCTCGCATGCCCACACGTCTGTCCTCGGTATGCTGCAGTGTTCCAGTGAATCACAGCCCAAACTGGAGGAACAACATCCCATCTTCAGACTAGGCACTTTGCAGCCTTCTGGACTTAAAATTGAGCTCAACCCCTTCAAATTGTGAACCATTTGATCCTTTTCTTTTAGTTTGTCACCGTGTCCTCCCATCCCAGTTACTGTCGTTTCAAGTCTGGCTGTTAGACACACCATTGTTCTGCCATTCTCACATTCCAATCACTTAAATCTGAACTATCAACATCTTTTCTCCACCGGCACCCTCCCCCACTACACCATCCCCTCCCCCACTCCATCTACCCACCCACCCACCAAACTGTAGCATAAATGTTGCTCCCTCGACAGTTCACTTCAGCTCCGATGAAGAGTCATCCAGACCTGAAACGTTAGCTTGCTCTCTCTCCATGGATGCTGTCTGACCCGCTGTGATCTCCTGCATTTGTTGTTTTCAGTACACATTCCAACATCTGCAGTAACTTGCTCCCACTAACTGCATGTCCTCGCTTTTCCCAGCATGTGAAAGATTGTAACATTAGATGTTGAGGTTAAGGAGAGAGGAGACGCAGAGATTCTCTTGTGCCAGGGCTGATAAACCAGCAGAACCTAACCAGTGCACTCACTGGCTCTTAAACTTATCCTCTCTTTCAGGAATCCCAGAGGAGCCTGAGAAGGACGCGCTCAGTGACGTTCCCGTCCGGCATCAGTTTTCCGATCCGGAAGAATCCGACGGAGCGGAGGAGGAGGGAGATGAAGACGATGACGATGAGGATGACGATGATGAAGATCGCCAAGGTGACAGCACGCCGACCACCAGATCGCGAAGCACGAGCCCACTCTCCAAACCATCCTCAAGCACCTTTGGCATCACCTCATCCTCTGCGTTCGACGTTTCACACTCGAGTAACCAGTCTTCCCTCATCAGCTACTTGGTGACACTACCCAGAATTCAAGCAACTCAGTTCATGCCACCCAGTTACTCACACACAGGGACTCCATTGACAGACTACCCGAGAAATTTGCAGAGCAGGCTGGCAGAGTCAATTGAACACAAAGATAGACTGGACATCCCAACACCCCCCAATGTGTGGCTACCACGTACCAGTGACGACGCGTCCTCGAGAGATGATAGCTCCAGAGAGATGTCCCCCTCGGGAGACACCGGTTCGAGTGCTCACCCATCACCGGCCTACGATGGTTCCCCAGGCAGCGACCCCTCACCGACTCCACGAAGGTACTTATCTCCAAGGAGGGAGCTCTCACCCAGAAGGCACTTGTCCCCAAGGAGGGAGATTTCCCCAATCCGGCACCGCTCGCCAAAGAGGGACACCTACCTGAGTGAGTTCTCCCTGAGGCGAGATGCTTCCCCGAGGCGTCCCTTCCTCCAGAGGAGGGAGATCCAGTTGCCAAGGCAGCTCTCCCCCGTCAAAGACCTCTCCCCGAGAAGGGAATTGTCGCCAAGGAGGGACTACAGAGACAGGAGGCACATGCCTTTGGTGAGAGCGACGTCGCCCAGGCGGGGCTGCCTGCAGAGTGGTCCCATCGCGGGCCCATACATGCAGCATTCGGACATGAGCCTGGTGAGTATCCACGCTGACCCAACAGGCTCGGCTAAAAAGTCACAATTAGGAAAGTGTGTAAACTGTTGCAGTTTTACTGTTTTAGGCAGTGCCGCACTGTCGGAGGGTCAGCGCTGAGGGAGCGCCACACCAAGTTCATAGAAGAATGGAAACAGGCCCTTTGGCCCAACAAGTCCATACCAACCCTCAGAGCATCCCACACAGACCCATCCCCCATAACCCACCTAATCCTCACATCCCTTGCACACTATGGGGCAATTTAACATGGCTAATCCACCCTAACCTGCACATCTTTGGACTGTGGGAGGAAACCGGAGCACCCGGAGGAAACCCACGCAGACACGGGGAGAACGTGCAAACTCCACACAGATAGTCGCCCGAGGTTGGAATTGAACCCGGGTCCCTGGCACTGTGAGGCAGCAGTGCTAACCGTTGAGCCACCGTGCCACCCCAAGTGATGCCCTGCAGTTGAGAAAAGGAGCTGTGTAAATTCAAGGTTTTCTAAACTCAAGATTTCTCCTGGATTCCCCACTGAATTTATTCACGACTACTTTAGATTACTGAGTTCTGGTCTTGCCTGCAAACGTAGAAATCTTCTCTGCATCCAAACTCCTGAACCCTTTCAGCATTGTTAAGTCTGTGCATAGGTCACGTCCTCAAATTTCTCTTAATTGAGAAAGGGAGCCAGTAGATTCAGTCTTTCCAAATGTTCTAACCACTGAATTTGCTCATCCTCCTTGGTTATTGTGAATATGAAAACTGTGCTGTCTGTAAAGAAATCACATAAAGTATAACTTATAATTAAGTGCTGCAATTTTTTTAAATTTCTCTTATTCCAGGGGCTTGTATAGACTAATAGCTACTTTAACATTAAAATATTGACCAGTCATTAATCAGCTCATATAAAATGTGAAGAAAAGTAAGAATTTAAAGTCTTCGACATATCGCTCTGAGGAACAATGGGAAGGATGGTAACAGCGCAGGCTGAGATGAGATTTAATTGTGTAAAATTAGGGGGGACTAGGTCATGTGATGGCAACAGCCGTGTGTCCCTCACATATCAAACAAATCAAAATCCAGGGAGGCAAAGATTTAAAATGATTGGTATCAGGATTGGAGGGGACTGGACCATTAAGGACTGAGTTGAGGAAACATCTTTCACCCACAGTGTAGTCAGCCTGTGGAATTTACTACCACATCAGGCTTTGGAGGCCGGGTTAATGAGTATATCCCTGAAAGAGACAGGTAAATGTTTTAGATATTAAAGGCAGCGAGGGAGATGGTGAGAAACGGGGAATATAGTATTGAGAGAGAAGATTAGCCATGATCATAGGCATAGCATGTACAGTCATACAGCACAGAAACAGACCCTTCAGTCTGACTTCAGAGGAGGCCATCGCCTTGTGGTATTATCGCTGGACTGTTAATTCAGGGACTCAGATAACGTCCTGGGAATGTAACGAAAAGATGTGACAAATGAATCTGTCTCTGTTTGGAATTAGAGATCTTTAACCCTTCTGGTACTTGCTGTTGATAATCGCTGGGGATTTCTCCTAAGCAACCAACTCTGCTCACCCTATCACCATATCCATCCATCCCTATCGCCCTCAAAAGCTCATACAGCATCCCTTGGCACGTATCTACACTGTTCACCTCAACCTACTCCGTATGGTAGGCAGTTCCAGTGAGAGACTGCACCTTGCTCTGTACTGAGTGGCATTCTACAGGATAGGGACATGCCACCTTTGGAGACCAGTGGGCACCTCAGGGGCTGGGGTACAACATCACCCCACAGAATATTATTTTTGGTTTAATAAGTTTCCGTTATCTGTTTGATTGTGCTTTTGTTACAGTGCCCCATTGGCCAACCTTGTTATACTTTAGAGTAGAAGCAGGTCACTCAGCCCCAAATGGTCTCCCCATCTCTACTTTAGCTCAGCCCATCAACATAATTGGTTGATTTATTGAAGCATAATTGATAAGTGGGAGGGAGGCTGGGAATACCTCACAAAACGCAGCGGTGAAATTTATTTCATGAGGTACGGATGGAAGAAAATGCAATGAGAGTGGGGACTAGGGCTACACTGGGCTCTGGTTTCCTTTAAGTTGCCTTTCTATTTACATTTGGGTCTTCTTTTTGAAATTTGCAGAGAACATCTCACCAGAATCCATTGGACAACAGCAGAATGATTCCCTGGCAGTCGTATCCTGTGTGTGAAAATGCCAAAGGAGACCAGGGCCATGCCATTCTTCCCAATGGGCCTCACGGTTGCCTCTTCAGCCACCTTCCACTGCACTCGCAACAACAAGTACGGACCCCGTACCAGATGATCCCCATTGGAGGCATTCAGATGGTCCATTCTGGAGCTGTCCCTTTGCCAGGGCTGCTGCCGGCTTCTCAGCTCCCCCTGGGGGCGAGGAGGAGGGACGACAGCGTCATCGACGAAGCCACCCACTGCGTCATCGAGAGCATCAAAGAGATGGACATCTTTTCCAAGTCCGAGGACGCACAAGTGGCATCCCCGATGGCTGTGTCGCCCCCACGGCCAACCAGCCCCACGGATCCCCTTGGGGCTGAGATGGGGGGTGGCCCCTGCGAGGAGGGGGTGCGCGGTCGGATGGTGGAGCAGCGGACGTTGCGGGGCCCCTCGGCGACTAGCAGTGGGTACGGCGAGCACCCAGCCCCCACTGGACGAGGGGGCGAGGACCTTCAACCTCCGGCAGAAGACGGGGAGCGAGCCGGGAGGGCAGGGTGCCCCCCAGCTGGTTGGGCCTGGGGCATTTCAGCAAGTCCACCATGAAAACCCCTGGGTGATTGGATATGACCACCAGGAGTGACTGGTGCCCACATTGAAAGGAGCGAGAGAGAAAGAGAGAGGCAGAGCAAGAGAGATTGTCAGACAGAAAGCATGGACTCCACTATTGGGAGACATTCACTGAGGGGCTGGGGTGCAAAGTGAGGACAGTTAAGACAGTGCAACACCATGCCCTCCTGTCTGGATTCCCAGTGAAGGCAAGATTTTGGGGAGAGGCTGGATAAACAGGCAGGAAGGAATGAGAGCATGCTGCCACCTTTATCTATCTGTGGTCTAGACTTTGAACGTGAGAAATATTTTCTATTTGTCTGTCAGAAGAAAGGAAAAAAAAAACTCTGACCAAAATCAAGTTCCTTCAGTTGTCCTTGTTAAGTATTTTTTTTTAAAAAAGTGTTGCAGATATTTTGTGCCTTTTATTTTTGCTTGAACTCCTGTATGCATTATGAAGGAAAGAGAGAAATTGTACATATTTTAGAATTTTGTGTACATGGCTTAATAATTGTGATGTTTTCTTTTCAGAGCACTTGTTATATTTTTGGGGGGAGGGTGGGGGTTTTGTCTTGAATGATGTGAATGATTGGAAACGGTTTATTTTTATGGGTTTGGGTGATGGGGCAAAGTATCATGTGAGGTTGCACTAAAAATGTATTTTTATACAATTGAACTACTCTTATGTACAGCAATGATTCTGTGATACTAATATTTATTACCTTTTTTTTGTTTTATAACTTGTGGAGCCTCTGTTCCTCCCTCCCATTGTAGGCAACTCTGACATGAAGCATGGGATTTGTTTTTTTTTGCAGAAGTTAGAATAAAGATTTGTAACGCTGTAAATTGTTTGCTGCTGAGATTCCGAGGGGTGGGCATTGCTATCGGAATCGATTCCCTCTCTCCTTTGGATAGATGAAACCGTCGCGAATAATTCTTCTTCGGCTTTAGTTCCAGCAGCCAGTGCTGGCTTTGTGGGGTTGTTAGGGAAGAGAGAGATAAACGGTACTTGAAGGAAGACCTGATAGAGCAACAACTTTGAGGTGCAGATCTTTCCCACTTTCCCCATCTGTCTGTCCCTCTCTCCTTCCTTGCCTGCTTACGAGCTGCCCTTTCGTTGTCTGCTGCTGTCCTTAGGAACCCCCAGCATCTCCAACCCAACATCACGTCCCGTTGAAAAATCCCTTCCCAACCCTAGCTCCCACATGGGCCTTTCCCGGTCAGGATGACTGAGATAGACAACGCAGTTGAATAGCCCGGGATGGAACAGGTAAACCTCATCTCCTGCTCCATCATGAAACATTGGCGCTGCAAGTTGACTGGTTGCTGGAGACCCCACCAGAGCGTTTACGAGACCCTATTTTCCCAAACTAGCACCACAACCCGCTCCAGGTGTATAGAATCGTAGAATCCCTCCAGTGTGGGAGCAGGCCCACCGAGTCCACACTGACCCTCTGAAGATCATCCCACCCAAACCCACCCTATCCCTGTAACCCTGCATTCGCCATGGCTAACCCAACCAGCCTGCACATCCCTGGACACTATGGGTAATTTAGCATGGCCAATCCACCCTAACCTGCACACCTTTGGACTGTGGAAGGAAATCAAAGCACTCGGAAGAAATCCATGCAGACACAGGGTGAATGTGCAAACTTCACACAGACGGACACCCGAGGATATAATTGAACCCGGGTCTCTGGTGCTGTGAGGCAGCAGTGCTAACCACCAAGCCACTGTGCAGCCCCCACCTGCTAAAAGCCAGCCCAGAAATCTGCGCAAACAGAATCAATTTATTTCTTAAAACTGTAAGTCTTTCAGGAGCATGTTTAAATTTGTTAAATCGGGATATCAGACAGTATTGCCCACTCCTTTTATATATATATTATATATATATAATTTTTTTTTAAAATGACTTACCGTGATTATGCACTTAAGAAGAGAATAGAATGAAAACCGAAGAATGCATATGATGTAATCATTTGTTTGAATTAAATTTTTAATCCAGACTGTTGTTGTACTCTATAAATGAAGTGCTTACTGGTAATTTTAAAATATAGTACTGTTTAGCATTAATTGAATTGTATCAGGCCGGTGTACATCTTTTATGCCTTTGTGAAGGTTTAAAACAAAAAAAAATTTTAAACTTATATGTGAATATTTTTTGTGTGTTGTGCTTGATAAATTTAGCAGAGACGGAAAATACATTCCAAGAAACCTGTACATACTGTATATTCCAAGTGAGTTATCTGTGTAATTCTTTTGTGTAATTAGTCATAAACTGACACTGTCACCACATTTCCTGTTTTCACACTTAACTGTACAGCAAAGACTTGAACAACAAGCGTGATAAAAAGCACAGACCTGTCATTTTAAACAAAATATTCTATATATATATATATTATATATATATGGGGTTGGGTGGGGGAGGGGTGGTAGGGTCAGGGGAAGAACCCTTTTGGAAATGTGTGTATGTGACGTTCAGTGCAAATAAAATGTGTGGTGGTATTATCTGCTGTGTTTAATTGTGGTTTCTGCAGGATTACGTTGAGGAGCTCAAGCTGATCCCATTGTCCTTATCCATCTGTCTGGTAGTGTCGGAGAGCGAGTATTGGCTCATATCATTGTTCAGGACCTGAGCATCGGGAGGAACATCATGTCCAAGTTCGTTGACGGCAGCAAGTTCTCTGTAACCAGAACCGAGATTGCTGGAAAATTGCTCTCTGTGGAGAGAAATCAGAGTTAACGTTTCGGGTTGAGTGACCCTTCCTCAGAATAGTTCTGAGGAAGAGGTCACTCGACCCGAAAGGTTAACTCTGATTTCGCTACAGTTGCTGCCAGACCTGCTGAGCTTTTCCAGCAATCTCTTTTTTGTTTCTGATTTACAGCATCAGGCATTCTTTCGATTTTCAGCGAGTTCTCTGTGTTGGAGCGTGGAGCAGAGTAGGAGATCTCAAGGGGGCATGGAGTGGTGGATAGGGCACTGGGATGATGTGGCAGATGGAATTTATTGCAGAAAAGCATGAGGCGATGGATTTTGGCGAGAGGAATGAGACAAAGTAAAGTAAGCCAAACAAAGAGACCTTGGGGTGCAGGTTCATAGTTCCTCGAAAATGGAGTCACAGGTAGACAGGGTAGTGAAGAAGGTGTTTGGTTCACTGACCTTTATTGGTCAGTGCATTGAGTATAGACATTGGGAGGTCATGTAGCTGCTGTACAGGACAGTGGTTAGGTCGTTTTTGGAATACTGCGTTCAGTTTCCATCCTGTACAACTCTATGACTTTAAGCCAAACAAGGCAGTTTTAAAGTGTTTGGGGGTGGTGGAGGTGTCGCGGTTGCTGTGCAGGAACCCAGAGAACTGGGAGTGTATGGATTTAAATCTTTGAAGACAACAGGACCGGTTGAGAAGACAGTTTGAAGATCAGAACTTTATATGGAGTGTCCTAGAGTACAAAAACAAGGAAGATATGTTAAACAACCATATATACTGGCCAGGCCTTGGTTGGAGCTTTGTGTTCAATTGTGGGTACTCGGGGCAGTGGCATAGTGGCATTGTCACTGGACATACAATCCAGAATTGAAGGCTAATGTTCTGGGTTCAAATCCCACCATGGCCAACGCTGAAGTCCGAGCTCAATTTAAACAGAGATGGAATGAACAACTAGCCTAATGCCAACCACTGTTAATCTGGTTCACTGATGCCCTTTAGGGAAGGAAATCTGCTGTCCTTATCTGGTCTGGCCTACATGTGACTCCTGACTCGCAGCAATGCGTTTGACTTTCAATTGCCCACCGATCATTTCGGGATGGACAATAAGGCTGGAATGCAGGTGGTGGTGTTCACGGAAATTGGCTGCTCTTGCCCTTGTAGGGGGGAGCAGTGGTAAGTTTGGAAGGTGCTGTCAGAGAAGCCTTGTCTCAGAAATGGTGCATATTGCTGCCAGTGGAGAGGACTATTCCCAACCCAACTCACGGTTTCCGAAGGCTCTCCATCATTTGTCCAATTGTCCCAGTTAGGTGGATAGGCCATGCTAATTTTCCCCATAGTGTCAAGGGATTTGCAGCCTAAGTGGGTTAGTCATGAGAAATGCAGGTTACTTGGATAGGATAGCAAGTGGGATGCTCTTTGATGGTTGTTGCAGACATAATGGGCTGAATGGCCTCTTCTACACTGGAGGGATTCTATGATTTGGCAAGTCCTCATAATCCTAGTATGTGTATAAAAGCATTAGTGTTTCCAGCATGACTATCCCTGCTGTGATCAGTTGGCCAACAGTGAACATGATCTGACAGTAGAGTGCCATGTCGTCAGGCTTCCTATTGAGGGGTATCCAGAAATGCTCTGAAAACGACACCTGGTTTTTATACATTAGCAGATTTGGATCAAATGAATTGTCTTCAGAGTTGCAGCGATTCAAGATTAATCCATTTGAGAAACAGGGTGCTCTCTGTGGAGTGAAAATGTATATCTTATTAATTTGGTGCCATGCCTTGATGATCATGCAATTGGCACATCAACAGGGAAGAGCTAAAAGTGGTTGTAAAGACTGGTGGAAAATGGAGACTTCAGAGAGATGGTGATTCCTATTGGTCCAAGCTCCAATTTAAAACATAACTGAGATCCTAGCAAGCCTCACAGTTCTTATAAATTGAAAACTAGGCCTGATAAGTGTAAAACCTCTTGCCATCTTTATTGACATTACTAATAGGGATTCTGTGGCATCCCTACAATTTAATTTCCAAAGCACCACTTAGAAATCGTATGAATTAGTGGAAGTGCTTGCATTGGTGGTTCAGTGGTAGATTTCTCACCTGCTTTGTGGGAGGCCTCGGTTCAGTTCCCAGCCGATGCATGGTACTTCTTTCCATCCCTTCTCAAATACTCGTGACAATACATGATTCAATTTAAGTGACTAATAAACGGCCAGATTGGAGTAAAACTCCCTCTGGCTTTACCAGGGGAGAGAGAATGGTGTAGAACTGAAGTTACAGGACTAGTAATCCACAAAATCCAGGCTAATCCTCTGGGGATATAGGTTCAGAAAATATCATACTAACAGGTGGAATTTGAATGCAATTTATTTGTAAATCTGGAAATAAAAACCAGTCTTGAAACTACACATTTATTATAAAGAAGCTGTTGTCGTTTAGAGAAGGATGTCTGACCTCCTACATGAGACTTCAAAAAAAATCTTAATTCTCGCCCTAACCCCCTGAAATGGCTGAGTTGGCCAATCAGTTCCAGGGAAATTCAGGATGTTCTTCTTCATGACAGATGAAAACCAAACACAAATGAGTGAACTGAAATTTAATTCAACAGTTTTTTTTTAAAAAAGCTGAAATTGGCGAAAGGACATTCAGTAGAGACCTGGAATATCACACCTGAAAGGTGCCAAAGAAGCTTCAAAGGGATAGTTATAAAAAGGAGAAACGCACTACGAACTGAACTGTAATGTCCTGGGAGTTATCTCAGACTGTGAATATGATGGGCATGAAGACAGTAATTTGGACAAGAGACATAATTTGTGTTTTCTCCTTTCACAAATACACAAAACAGGCATTTCAGGCCAGTTTAACCCTAGTCTTTATGTTCTAGTGGATGAAGATGTGCTAGTGAGTTAAGATGCTCATGTCTGGGTCACAGTTGAAGGTTCGTCCACCAGTCATTCTTGCATTGCAGGTAATGGCCTCCCTCACTCAATTACTGGAAGCCAGCAAGCCAGCACAACATTCAAATGGAAATAGAACTAAAGGATTTCAACTAACCAGCAAAGCCAAGAATCTCAAAATCAACAGCTCAGCTATTATCATTCTACTCTTTACTCTTACCAGAGATTGAACCGTATATCTTGGAGCTTTTATCTTAGCTTTGGGTGTCTGTATGATAAGTTCAATCATTGTTACCTCAAGAAAGCCTAGCGATATTAATACCTTTTAAAACATAAGTTCTTCAGATCTGGGAGAAAGGTATCAAGGGAATATAGTCCTTAATGAATTAACCTTGCGGTAACCAACCAAAGGAGTGAATAATGAAACAGCTAGTTCTTACCTCCTCAGAGTTTGACAAGTTGAGATATCCCATCTGAAATTGTCAAAACTTGGGAAACCTTGCCTGGAGTCTGGTCATAACTGATGTGGCATCCCATGACAGAGACATTTCTTGACAATGTCCATCAAGGAAGGGAACCTGCTCATCTTATCCAGTTATGGAATTCCCTGTTCTGCAGCAAGCAAGAGGAGTAAGCAAATGGGAATGCCATTTCCGATGTCCATCATAGTCTCACACACACCGTCCTCACTTTGACACACAGTATAGCCAATCCTTCAGTGTCACTGGTTCAACACCATGGAATACCCAATCTAATTGCTGTGTAGGAGCCCACTCACCACACAGACTGGACCAATTCAGTTAGATGACTCCCAACCACATTCCCAAGTGTGACCAGGAATGGACAATAAGTGCCAGGCCCCAGGCAGGGAGGCCCACATCCTAAGAATGAATTTTGATAATATCATTCACACTGCTGACTGCCTCTCAACTCGCCTTTAACAAGTTCCCACATGGGAGACTGAAGCGAAGGTAACAAGCACATGTGATCCAGAGTAATTTGAAAAATTGGACCCAAAGTTGGATTAATGGTAGGAGACAGAGAATGGTGGTAGAAGGCTGTTTGTGTGACTGGAACCTAGTATCCAATGGTGTTCCAAAGGGATTAGTGCTGGGTCCCTAATTGTTTTTGATATATATATAAACAATATAGAAGAAAATGTTGGTGGGGGTGATTAGTAAGAAGTTTACAAATAGAGCAAAGGTGGTTGACAGTGAGGAGAAGGTTTTCGGTTACAGGAGGATACATGTGGATTTGGTCAGATGGGTAGACCAGTGGCAGATGGAATTTAACACTGACAACTGTGAGGTGATGCACTTTGGAAGAAGCAACAAGACAAGGGAATACTCATTGAATGTTAGGACACTAGGGAAGCTCAAAGGAACAGAGGGATTTTGGGTGTTTGCCGACAAATCCCAGAATGCAGCAGGACAGGTTAATAGGGGTGGTTAAGGCGTACAGAAGGCATAGATTATA